TGGAAGTAGTCTGGTGTGCAGATTCAAAACAGTAACAGACACTGCTGGAAAAAAAACAACATCCTGTTTTCCTGTCTCAACAGACACAGGAATCTCAATTCTTGTTTCAATGTACATTAACCAAAGTTCTGGAAGATTTGACCTTGATCAAATATTCCTTGAGCAGCTTGGTATGTCCAAAAAGATAATCATCAGAAATAAAAGTAGTTTTTTTAAACTATCACAATGCAGTAACTGCTCTGTTGAGAGCAAAAAATAGTCTATTATGCAAATGAGATTTAAAAAAAAAGAAAGAAAGAAAAATGAAGGAATCAGGCAGACTTGAGGCTCATGAATGGAGCCATTACATTCATTTACTGTCAGAGGGAGGTGCTCAACTTTTGCATTTCCAGTTCGCTTCCCTAAATTACAGGTCAGAATGATTGTTCAAGGAAGAGGCAGGGGTGAGAACTACATGGTTCTCCCACTTCAAATCAGAGATATACTTGCTGTTATGCATTTTTGAATGTCACTTGCCCTTTCTGGATTTGGGTGATTCATCCTTCTCTGGAAGGGACAGGCCCTTAGTATCCTTAAAGGAGATTTTCAGGTAGGATTTCCTGCTCTGTCTTGCTGATCCACAGGATTCATCAAAACTGGGGTTTAACAGCTGAAAGCCTCAGAGAGAAAGCCTCCTGCAAAGCAAGATCATCCTCTGAACATGATCCAAAATAAGACAAGTTGTATATCTTCTAATTCTCTTGGAGGCCAAAATCCATGAACTAAAAACAAGAATGGAATGTGGAAGTGGGAGAACAGAACAAGGTCTACTTAATGCTACTCCAATAACAATATGGCAAAGATTTAAACTCCTCTACAACACCATTCCTACAAACTGGATGTTGATGAAAGACAAAGGAATTATTCCTATGTGTCCTTTGAGTCTAGTGCTATGACAGCTGTAATGACTGCTTGTCTGTGGTTAATGAACACCATTGGAATCTGTGCAAATGCCCAACTTCCTTAATGCATCCTACAGAGAAAGCAGCTATTCCCTTCCTAGAGTCAGCCCCTAGCACTACTGTCAGGGTGGTCCCGTAAAAACTGAAATGAAGGATCAGGATTCCGATCTGTTGTGGGGCTAGCAGAGGGACAGCTGCCCTGAGGAGCATTTAATTATTGAATCTTGATTGATGTTATCAGAAACATCTGAAACTTATAAATCATGTTGCAACATAAAGCCGTAAGCTTTGGCTTGGATGCTCTTACACAGCAGTCAAATTAGAGTCCTCCTAGCACAAATTCAAGGCTGCATTACACTGGCATAACATTCTAACTGAAGATTTTTGCTTCTTTTTGTAGATCTAAGATCTGTGCGTGAAGCTGCTTCATTCAGGTTCTATATCAAGTCTGACTGGCGTTCAGTACAGGACTGGTTCTGCAAAATGAATTTGTAAGAGCTGGGCTTGTTTAGTTTATCATAGACAGCTTAGCCTCTTCTTTGCCTACTTGAAGGGCAGCTTGGATGGTTCAGGTCGCACATTAGAAAGAATTTTCACTAGGAACTTAGTCCAGCAATGGAAGAGGTCACCAAAGAAATAGTGAAATCTCCTACCTTAGATTTTTTTCAGCGCTTGGCTGCAGCCAGCCATGGCTGACCTGACTTAGCACTTCCAACAATAACACTTCAGCATGAATTTCAGAGACTCCTTCCAAGCAATATTGCTGTAATTTTATGATTTTCAACCCAGGATTCAGCTGACCATGTTCTTCCTCATTAATAAAATATCTATCAGCCAGGCCATTTGTCACGAGCACAGCAAATCTACTACCTTTGGAAGGACAAATGCTCTCAGCTCTCACTGTATTCCAGCTGCATTCTCTGTGCACACTCTCTCTCCCTTCTCCTCTCTCTTTTTTTCCTCCAAGAGCTGGTATCTGCCCTGCATAGCTAAAGAATAAGTCCCTTCCGTTAGTACAGCTTGTGTCCAGTGCAAGCACAGCACCGATCTGCTAATGATTGTTAATTAACTAGAATAGGTAGTAAACATCTTGTTAATGAAATTCCTAGTTTAATAAATTGTAAGCAGTTAAAACACAAATGAGGACAAAAAAGTAATAGAAGGGGACTTGGAGAGACTGGAAACACAGGCAGGAAACAAGAAACTTAAAGGAAATTGATACATCTGCAGAATTAAATTCCAAAATGCAGACTTTCTACAGGACAATTTGAGGAAACAAACAAACAAAAAAAAAAGCAAAGGGATGAAAGCAAATGAGACATTACTTCGGACTACAGCAATTCTTCCCCCAAAAGTCCACCGCGATTTTGAGTGGCATGCACAGAGGCAACAAAGGGAAACACAGCAAAGTTGCCCCAGTCCACAGCCCTCAGAGCAGCTATCTGGGAGTTTTAGTCATGGAAATGTCAGCATTATCATCTTTTTTGTATATAGCATGCAGCACCCAAAATGCATTAGGGACTGAAAATTTGAAGGAGATTCAGAGATGATATATAAAGAAAGATTAAAACATATATAACATAGTTAAATGATGGTCAAACTCAGGGTGGAGGGGGAAATGGAGCAGAACAGATGGACTTGGAAACATTATTATATCTCTAAAATACAAAATCAGAATACTTTGTGAGCAATATTCAAGTCTTATAGATCAGGGTATGAGTCGAACTTAGCAGGATAAAATAAAAAAATAAAAATAAAAAAAGGAAAGGAACAGCTGTTTTAAATTACCTGGGGAAAACACAAAAGAGACCTCAGAAAATCTAACACTGTTTTTGGCTCCCCATTATCCAGAGATATCATAAAAAGTTAGATCAATAGGAATATTTATCTGATCTATGGCACACAACAGCATATAGAAGTGGCTAAAGATATCAAATTTATTTCAAAGGAATGAACAATACATGCGAAATCAAGCTAACTTAGAAGAGCAGATTTGCTGGGGCAGCTTTGGTTAAATCACTTAGCACCTATGCATTTCAGCTCTCCCTCTGAAAAATGAAGGTACCACTGTTTGCCTCTCATTTTTTGTTAAGTCTTGACTATATTAGCCCTTTAGGGACCAAAGATGGTAGCTTATTATACAGAGTAAGTCCCTATCTTATTTGAGACCTCCCATTTCTGTTGTAAATACATGTAATTAATGTATAATTTTTAAGTATATTTTTTAATTACAGAGACACCTGAAATCAGAAGGACTAGCAGGACCTCACTCATACATCTGCTGATAACAAAGCACAGAAAAACCAAATAGAGCTCCAGATATCATAAAGAACATCTGTATAATCCAGAGAATAACTAATCCAGAAGAAGAAATGTAGTCATTCCACAACCTGATCGGATGGGAGTTTAATATATAATTCATAAAATTAAAAGCTTGTGGTTCCTACAGAAATATTAACTTGGTGCACATAATAGAATGGGTAATTTTACTGCTCTTGCTAACAGACTTGACACCACCAGCAGCTCCTTTAAAACAGAGTAACTAAGCATTATGCACATTCTTCATATTAAACCATTCTTCTAATTCACAAGCATGGGGATAGTAGCAGAACTACTGTCATAGCAGCTCATCATTATGAATGAAATTCCAAGGTATCGACCTAACAGAACAGTTCTCAGCATTAAGCCTTGTTTCCTAAAAACTCATAGCTGTGAAAGAACCTTTCTCAAATACAAAATTTGGAGATTAAGCTCAGTCTCCCTTTAATTTTGGCAAATGAGCCTCTCTACACATACTTCAAACTGAAACCAGGCAGCAAATTCCAATGTTGTCTTTTACTACACCACTTTTGAAGCTACTTGTCATAAGGACATCAAGAGCTTTGATGCTTAGAGCTTTTCCTAATGCTATAGCATTAATTTAAAAACAGAACTCTTC